GTACATGTAGTGCTAAAAGGGGGCCCAAGCACAAAGGACGCCCACCTTGTAAAGAGTTGCCTGAGAATGTGTCAGAGTTTGTGAAAGTGTTATCGGAAAGGATGGATGATATTCACCATCAAGTACGTTCAAACTTGAAAACTTCTGCTGATTCGATGAAGCTATCTTATGATAAGAGATCTACTGAAGTCAGCCTTGAACCAGGAGACAAGGTGTAGTTGTATAATCCCAGGAAGACCAAAGGGAAGTCTCCTAAGTTGTCTTCTCCATGGGAAGGCCCATATGACATAGTGGATCGTCTCTCAGACGTGACTTTCCGAATCAAATGTGCTCGGCGAGGCAAGCCAAAAGTGTCGCATGCCAACAGGCTTTGGCGTTATCATGGTCCAGAACATTTCAGTTGGGACGAAGTGAACAACAGAATAAATAACGCTGCTGAAGACGTGTCACCTGAAAAAGCCACCGTCGAAGAAGAAACTCTACTCAGTTTTGAGAAGGGAAACGGTGAAGCCCTTGATGAAGTTACTACCACTGATGTGACTGTTATCGACGGTAGGACATTTCCTGATGAAGCAGAAGCCAACGAGACGGAGACCAGTACGGAAGAAGATACGTCCCGTAAAATTAAGAGACTTTGCTAAATTGTAATTCTGTACATTTACTTAAGTTTTTGTTAATTGTTATTGGTTTAATGTAAGTGGCTATTGTTCGAGACGAACAATACTAAGGAGGGGCAGTGTTGCGTCAGCGAGGTCACGTGACTAGTATCACGCCACGTCATTCTCGAACATTCACGTCTTTTCCTTAAATCTCGTGATCCTTCTAGATATAGTGTAGTCTTGTATATATAAGACCGGCCACGAAGCGACGGTGGAGGGGTTGAGTAATTGAATGTATGCTGACAGAGAGAATATTGTTGGGCACATGAGACATTCGTTGAGAATTATGGCGTTTGTTATAGAGCGACTGTTGAAATTAAGTGTATTGTAAATTTGTATTCGGAAAGAATAAACCACTTTTATTTAAGAAAGGATTTGTGTCGCTAAAGTTTCGTCGGAACGAAGTTACGGAAAATTAACTGACGAACGGAGACGTAACAAATTGGTGTCAGAGAGTGGGACGAAAAAAATGGAAACGAGAAGCGGCAAATCAAACTACAGCTTAGCAGACGTGATCACAGCAATATAAGAACAGCAAAAGAAACAAGAAGAACGAGAAGAGAAATTACAACAGTTGTTGGAGGAAAAAGAAAAGAAACAAGAAGAAACATTATAGCAGTGGCAAGAAAACCTACAACAATGGCAGCTCGAACAGCAAAATAAACAAGAGAGATTACAGCAGTTGTTGGTGGAAAAAGAAAATAAACAAGAAGAACGAGAAAAGAAACAAGAAGAGAGACTACAGCAGTGGCAACTGGAACAAGAAAGTAAACAAGAAGTACAAACAGAAAACATTAGTAAATTTCAAAGCGAATTAGATACATTAAAGGACGATTTATTGTCTTTTACACAAGAAGGATACATTAACTACCGACTTAATCAGCCCGAGACAACGGCAAGCCCTTCCCAGACCCTGCAGCTAAACCCTAATGCAGGCATATTCAGTCCTGTTAGAAGTCACATCCCAGATATGAATGTCAGTAATAGGAGTGATCCAGTACGAAGGAAGCCACAGGAATACGATGGGAAAGCACCGTGGGAACCATATAGAGCACAGTTTGAGCTACTGGCAGAGATGAATGGATGGACAGAGGAGCAGAAACCAGTATATCTGGCAACGAGCTTGAAGGGACAACCACTGGAAATACTTGGACAGTTGTCAGTAGATGACAGGCACAAGTATAGAGCACTGGTAGCAGCTCTAGAACTAAGATGCGGAACCCAAAATCAGTCGGAAGTCTACAGGGCCAGGTTTAGGACGAGAGTCCGTGCTAAAGGGGAGAGCCTGCAAGAGCTGGCACAGGACTAGGAAAGCATGGCACGCAAGGCCTACCCAACTGAACCACCCGATCTCCTCAATATATTGCTGAGGGATCTTTTTGTAGATGCCTTGGACAGTTCACAACTTAAGATACAAGTGAAGCAAGCACAGCCCTCTACCATGCAGGATGCAATGGCCAGAGCTCTCGAATTTGAATCCTACGTTAAGTCCAGCACAGAGGTACCAAAGTTGGTACAGTCATCTGGATTCAAGGCCAAAAAAAATCAGCGTTCAGAGCGGGTTGAGGGACTTTCCTGGCACTGTAACAAACCTGGGCACAAGAGACCTCAATGCTGGCAACTTCAAAACAGGGGAGACGATACACCAGTAAAGGTTGCTACCAAGAAAGGCTGTTGGAACTGTGGGGAGGAAGGACATCTGAGGAGCCAGTGTAAGAAAAATACCACCAATAAGTCAGCTTCGGTAAACCAGTAGTGGTTGGTGCTAAGGGATGCCCACCCCAAGTATACTTTCTGTCTGTTTTTCATGCCCATCAGCTCAATAGTTACCCACACTGGTCCCCACAACCTTGCAGAATGTCCTGTCACACCACAGAGCTTCTGTACAGCTTCTGGTACTCCTTTGTTATCCAGCACCTTGATGCTCACAAGGGTCTGCTGAGATGCAGAATCTATGACAAAGTTGCACCTTTGGCCATCCAGCTTCCCTGTCACGTAGATACTATGTGTGCTTGCCATTTTACACTTAGCTGTTGGGACTTTCACATTGGAGGTTCTGATATTGAAGACGAATGCATATTAGGATTGGACTAACTACTACTGAGGAAGTTTGTAATTGCTTTTGATAAAATGACGTTTGGGAATAACAAAGGCCAAGTTCCGGTAACTGTTAAAAGAGAGGTTGAACTAATTAGGTGCCATAAAGGTGAAGTCAGAGTGACTGAAGAAGTTGATGATGACGAAGTGGAACCAAATATAGATATCAAAGCAGAACAGTAGAAAGACCAAGATTTGAAGCCAATGACTGATTTTCTAAAGGCAAGTGTTTTGCGCCCTGCTTGGGAGAAGGTGTCTAGTCTAAGCCCTGTGACAAAGCACTATTGGGCACAATGGGACCAGTTGAAGCTTGAAAATGGTATTCTTCTCCGGAGATGGGAAACTACAGATGGGAAAGTGACGACTTGGCAAACGGTTATACCGAGAAAGTTACGGGAAGTTGTGTTGCGTCAATTCCATGATAATTTAACAGGAGAACATCTCGGAATTAGGAAGACATTGAGTCATCTACGACAAAGATTTTACTGGATAAGTATAAGGCGAGATGTGGAAGAATGGTGC